TCGGTCTTCTCTGTCTCGGTCTTCTCTGTCTCGGTCTTCTCTGTCTCTGTCTTCGCTGTCTCTGTCTCTCTCTCTCTCTCTGTTTGAGACTTCCTGACTGCTACGTCGCCACATCTGGAGGAAGTCGTAGCCCATCTAGAGGCTATGTTTCCCATATCTGAGACCTAGGTCGGGTCATCTTGCGGCTACGTGTGCCATATCTGAGACTATGTTGGGTCCTCTTGAGGGCCTCTGTCAGATCATCTTGGAGCACATGTTCCGCCTTTGCTCTTAGCGCGCGCCCGACACCCACGAAATGTCGATTAAGCCTGTCCGCGCGGCACGCATAACCGACACCACGGGCGCCCTTTTAGGCACGCCGAAGGCCACAAAACACTGTAAAAGCCGATGTTTTTCAACATCCTGCGCAAGATACATATAAATCTGTCGACCAGATTTGGGCGGGGGTCGACACGGGGTCGGGCGGAGGTATCCCCGCGGTCGAACAAAAGGGTCGGCGGCAGGGGCGGCGAGCGTATATAACCTTCGGTTACCAACCGAAGGCCTCCGGCAAGGGAACGTGCGCGTGGCCGGCGCCCGGATTGTAAGGGCTACGCCCCGTGCCGCCGACCCCAGCGAGGGGGAGAAGGGTCGTGGTTTCATGTCATCTGGAAATGGAGTAAATAAGACGCCCGCTGAATAAGTGGGACGTGCTGCACAAGCACTGTCTTATTTACTCCATTTCCAGATGACATGAAACCCACGTAAGGTCACGAAGGTGAACTAGACTCAACTGAGTTCCTTGGGGTTGGTACCGGCGACGAATCGTAGACTTGTTCGGGTGGAGGAGTCTTTTGCCGTACTTGTCAGGTGAGGGTTGTTAGATTTTATGCGAGCTGCCTTTCTTCTCCTTCTCCTCCGCTTCGTCCTCCTCCTCGTGCGCGTCGTGTTCAACCGCCAGCCAAAACGCACAACGTGCAGCCACAAAAACAAAACAGAGTACAGAACCAACGAAGCACAGCCACGATACAGAAGCACAAACAAACGAACCACGAACTCAAGCACAAACGCAACCACAGCCACGATCACAAACACAACTAGAAACACAATCACAAACACACAGCTACAATCACAAGTCACAAACACACAGCCACAACGCTCAAACACAACCAACACACAAGGATAACAATATATATGATTACCTGTGTGGGTGACATTTTGCGTGGCCGGTGGTCACAGGGTAGCACTGGTGGATGCCAACTGGAGACCCTGGCGGCACCCCAGCGCGAAGTCCCTAATACAAAAATAGCAATGCGAAACCCCGACAAGATCGAACACCACAAAGCTCACGACCAGGGCAACATGCACGTCACCAAAGCGCTTGGGCCCTACTATTATCAAACAAGCTTCAGGGGAATCCGTGGCAACCCGCCTCCACCGTTCTAAGACCTGTCCACGTTGACAAGTTCTTTGCTCGAATTAGCAGTGCTTTGTGGGTTGTTGTTCGACTCGCCCAGCAGACCGTTGACATCGTGCTGTGCAAATACCCGCCCGCTGCAGATCCAAAGTTTGATCTTGCATCTTTCGGTGTCTCTGGATGGTGCAAGAGGTGTTCCGGAGTCCACTTGTAACAAAGTGTTTTTAATTTGACGACACTGGTCTCATGCAGCAGTCAGCGACGAATCGTAGACTGGCGACGAATCGTAGACTTGTTCGGTACCGGCGACGAATCGTAGACTGGGTTGGTACCGGCGACGAATCGTAGACTTGTTCGGTTTGAGGGATTTGAGGGGTTTGAGGGGTTTGAAGGGCAGGCCCCGATGTCTACCGTCGCTCTTGGATCCTGTAAAAAAACACATTTTGAAGCAGCCTCGAGCAAGCCCCTTCTGGCAAGTTTCGAGGCTTTTGGGGGATTTGAGGGGCTTGACAGGGTTTGAAGGGCAGGCCCCGATGTCTAACGTCGCTTTTGGATCCCGTAAAGAAAAACACATTTTGATGAGGGATTTGAGGGGTTTGCGGGGTTTGACGGGCAGGCCCTGATGTCTCACGTCGCTTTCGGATCCTGTAAAAAAACATTTTGGAGCAGCCTCGAGCAAGCCCCTTCTGGCAAGTTTCGAGGGGTTTGAGGGATTTGAGGGGTTTGAGGGGTTTGAAGGGCAG